TGATGTATCACATTTATTGATTTGCGGATATTGTACCAGCCTTGCAACACCAGAATAAATCTCACTTGGTCATGGTATATGATCTTTTTGATGTAATCTTGGATGCAGTTTGCTAATATTTTCTTGAGGATTTAAGCATCTATGTTCATCAAGGATATTGGCCTATAATTCTCTTTTTAGTGTCGTTATCTGATTTGGGAATTAGGGTAATGCTGGCTTTATAAAAAGAGCTTGGAAGTATTCCTTCCTCTTGAGTTTTTTGGAATAGTCTGAGAAGGGCCAGTGTTATTTCTTTGAATGTTTGGTAAAACTCCCCTGTGAAGCCATCTGGGCCAGGGTTTTTTGTTTGTTGGAAGTTTTTTTATTACTGCTTCAGTTCATCTATAGTTATCGTACTATTCAGGTTTTCTGATTCTTCCTGATAGAATTTTGGAAGATTGTGTTTTTCTGGGAATATGTCCATTTCTTCTAGGTTGTCCAGTTTGTTGGAATAGAGTTGTTCATAGTATTTTTTACAATCCTTTGTATGTCTGTGGGGTCGGTTGTTACTTCTGCTCTTTGAGTTCTGATTTTGTTTATTTGGGTCGTCTCTCTCTGTTTCTTGGTGAGCCTGGCTAGAGGTTCATCAGTCTTGTTTATCCTTTCAAAGAACCAGCTCTTGGTTCTATTCATTTTTTTGTATTGTTTTTTTATTATTATTATTATTTTTGTTTTGTTTTTGTTTTATTTTATTCATTTATTTTTGGTCTCTATGTCATTTATTTCTGCTCTGATTTTTATTATTTACTTCCTTCTACTTACTCGAACAGGAGTGGTGAAAGTGGGCATCCATGTATCATTCCAGGCTTTTCCCGTTGCTCTCTAGTTCTTTAAGTTGTAGGGTTAGATAATTTACTCCAGTTTTTCTTATTTTTTCTGCACCCCCCCACCCCCACTGGGGATGTGCCACAACCAAGGTACATGCCCTTTTCCAGAATCGAACCTGGGACCCTTCAGTCTGCAGGCTGATGCTCTATCCACTGAGCCAAACCGGTTAGGGCAGTTTTTCTTATTTTTTGAGGTAGACCTATAGTAGTATGAACTTCCCTCCCACAACTGCTTTTACTGTGTCCCATAGGTTTTTGATTGTTGTATTTTCATTTTCATTTTTTTCTAGAATGTTTTTTATTTCTTCTTTGATCTCTTTGGTAACCCATTCATTGTTTAATAACATGCCATTTAGCCTCCATGTTTTTCATTGCTTTTTTGGTAGTAGATTTCTAATTTTATGCCATTATGTTCTGAGAATATGCTTGATATGATTTCAGTCTTCTTGAATTTGTAGAGACTTGACCTGTGTCTTAATATATGGTCTGTCTTTCAAAATGTCCCATGCGCACTTGAGGAGAATGTATATTCTGTAGCTTTGGGTTGAAATGTTCTGAATATGTCAATTAGTTCCATATGACTTAGTGAGTCGTTTAGGATTGCTGTTTCTTTGCTGAATTTTTGTCTAGGGGAATTGTCCAGTGATATCAGTGGGGTATTAAAGTCCCCTACTATGATTGTATTGCTGTTGATCTCTCCTTTGATATCTTCCAAAAGTTTTTTTGTGTATTTAGGTGCTCCTGTATTGGGTGTATATATGTTAACCAGAGTTATAGCCTCTGTTGAATCGATCCCTTTACTATTATGAAGTAGCCTTCCTTATCTCTTGTTATGGCGTTCACTTTGAGGTCTATTTTGTCAGATATAAGTATTGCTACCCCAGCTGTTTTTTCATTTCCATTTGCCTGAAAAATTATTTCCATCCCTTCACTTTCAGTCTGTGTGAATCCTTTGTTCTGAGGCGGGTCTCTTGCAGTCAGCATTTATATGGGTCCTGTTTTCTTATCACCTCAGCTACCCTATGTCTTTTGATTGGAGCATTTTATTCATTTACGTTTAAGGTTATTATTGACTAGAGGCCTGGTGCACAAAAATTTGTGCACTCGGGGGTGGGGGGGTCCCTTAGCCCATCCTGTGCCCTCTCGCAGTCTGGGACCCCTCGGGGGATGACCACCTGCTGGCTTAGGCCCGCTCCCCGGGGATTGGGCCTAAGATGGCAATCAGACATCCCTCTGGCAGCCTGGCAGCCTTCAGGGGATGTCCACTTGCCAGCGGGGAGCAGGCCTAACCTACAGTCGGACATCCTTACCACTGCTGAGGAGGCAGGAGAGGCTCCCACCACCACCACTGTACTGGCAGCCATCAGCCTGGCTTGTGGCTGAGCAGAGATCCCCCATGTGGGAGCACACTGACCACTAGAGTGCAACTTTTGCATTGAGCGTCTGCCCCCTGGTGGTCAGTGTGTGTCATAGTGACCAGTCATTCCCAGTCTTTCTCCTGTTACAGTCAGTTTGCATATTACCCTTTTACTATATAGGATAGAGGTCTGGTGCACAGGTGGGGGCCAGCTCGTTTGCCCTGAAGAGTGTCCCGGATCAGGGTGGGGGTCATGCTTGGGTGCCTGGCCAGCCTGGGTGAGGGGCTGATGGCTGTTTTCAGGCTGGCCACACCCCCTTCAGTGTGGGGGTCCCCACTTGGGTGCCTGGCCAGTCTGGGTGAGGGGCTAAGGGCCATTTCCAGGCTGGCCAGCGACGGAATCTCCCAGCCTCTCCTTTTTTCTTTCTTTTTTTATTCTGAGATTTATTTACCTTCTATAATTGAAACATTGTTGCTGTCACTGGCACTCCCAGCTCTGAGGCCACGGCTGGCTGAAAGCAGGTATCTGGGGTTTGTTTAGCTTCTATAATTGAAACATTGTTGCTTTTGGAGCTCAGAGCTGGGCCACGGCAGGCGGGGAACCTTAGCTTCCTCCATCACTGGAGCAAACAAACCTCCTGCTCGCTTCTGCTGTATGGCTGCCGGCTGCCATCTTTGTTGGCAGTTAATTTGAATATCGCCCTGATTAGCCCATGGGAAGCGTAGCGGAGGTATGGTTAATTACCCTTTTTGTCTTTTATTAGACAGGATAGGTACTTGTTTGTCACCATTTTTGTTCTTTATGCCTATGTTTCTTCTTCCCTTTCTATTTCTTCTTTTTAGAGCAGTCCCTTTAGCATTTCTTCATTGCTGCCTTGGCCTCTGTGACAGTATTCTGTTCTAAGTCTCTTAATGCCCTCTCTAGACTTTCCCAGCTCTTCTAACACTTGCTCCTAAAATATTATTGTTCCATCAGAGACATTTCTTCTCACTCTCTTTCTGGAAAATGTATAATACTTCCTATTTCTATGGGTTGATGCCTCTCAAATCCATCTCCTGCCTTTTCTTCATTTCTTTCCACTCAGGGTATGTTTCCAGTTGTCTGTGGGACAGCTCCATTTAATTATGCCTTAAGAGTTTCAAACTTACCATTTTCTCTTAAGTCTTCTTTCTTATACACATTGCAGCTGTTACCCTGGATCATAGTGTATAATCACACAGTCAGGAAACCTCAGAATTAACTTTGGCTCTTCTCTTTCCTTCCCTATATTCAGTCATTAAGTTCTCTTCATTTTACCTCTTAAGTATCTCCTAGCTTTCATTCCCCTATTCTCTATCCTGCCTTTTCTTATTTCTCACTTAATCAATTGTAGTAGCCTCCTGATAAGGTTCCCTTTCTCCTTTTATATCATGTTCTTTCTGCTTATAATGACACTAGAGGCCTGATGCACGAAATTCATGCATGGGTAGGGTCCCTAGGCCTGGCCTGCGATCAGGGCGATCTGTGGGGCGACCGGCAGAGCAATTGGGGGCTCCCGCTGGCACCTGCCTTGGCCAGCCTCGCACCACCCACTCACCGGCCCCGGCCCTCACTGCCGCCGCTGGTCGTCTCCCTCTGCGGGGCAACTGGTGGGGCGATCAAGGGGGCCCCTGCTGGCACCCACTTTGGCTGGCTTGGGGCCTGTGGGCTGCTGGCAGCTCCCTTGTTGAGCATCTGCCCCCTGGTGGTAAGTACACGTCATAGGGACCAGTCATTCTGGCATTCGGTCAATTTTAATATTAGGCTTTTATTTTATAGGATTGTTTACTTGATGAATGCCTATTCATCTTTCAAAACATCCACACATATAAAATTTATCATACCCTCTTATCGTGCCTTTACAGCACATTTTACAAACCTGTACTTCAGTACTTATGTTACCAATACATTATAATTACATGCCTATAACCCTATAAAATATACACAATCTTCCAGAATAATGACTGAATATTACTTTCTTATACATCTTCCTTCACCTCTCCCACTCCTCCCCCACAAAATCTCAAACTCGTGTCATGTGGTATTAATCTTTTCTTTCATTCCTTTATCCACATGAGATAGGGTAAGTCAGTCTTAAGACCCAGCCATCATTTGTATCTTCTTGTAAGATCTGGTTTGCTGACTCATCTGGAACAAATAATGGGAACAGAAAAGAATTATATCTGCCTGATTCATTAACATTTATACCTGAACTTACTGAACTTGATAATATTATTTTTAAATGGTCTGGTTGTCAATAAATACTTTAATCTAAGAAGCAGTAGCCTTTGGAATGTACCATAAAATATATTTTATGCCCTTCGAGAACTCTCTATCTTGTGCTGGTGGCAAACTTCTTCTATAGTTCTCATTCCTATTATCCTTTTCCGTTAATAGTATTTTCCCTTTACCTTGGAGATACATGAAAGATAGCATATAAAAGTCAGGCTCTGTTGCATGCTCAGAACTAAATTATGAAGTATGTATGTTGAGGGGAGAGGTAATATTTGGGGGAAAGATTATAGCTGTTTTTAGTAGATGTCTTCATAGAACTGACATGGTTCCTGATCAAGCACTGAAACCATTTTTAAAATGCTCTATAAATACTGTTTACATTTATACAGAATGAGGTGGGGAAATTAATTCAAGGACTGACCTATGCTTTTGCTGTCAGGGATATTTGTCTTGAACCTTGATAAATAGGAGTGTTTGATGCTGTTGATACTGAACTGTTACACTTCTGTCTGTTATTTTTCAGGCTAAGCCACCCAGATATTCCATTTAGTACTGGAGCCACATCATCTACCAACAATCCAGAATTTGTGGAGGGTCTCTCCCAAGATCAGTTGCTTCAGAATGAGCCTTCAAACACAGCAGAAGGCAGTGAACAGAGGCATGAAGATGAGGTAAGCTGAAGTATGTACTGTTACTAGTCTCTGAAGCTTCTAAAGGAGCATGCAGTAGGTGTCCATCATCTGGCTTTCTTACATCCTGCAGAATTTTCTGGGTTTTTTTTTGTTGTTTTTTTTTAAATCTTTATTGTTCAGATTATTACATTTGTTCCTCTTTATTTCCCCCCATAACTCCCCTCCTCCCAGTTCCCGCCCCACCCTCCGCCCTCACTCCCCACCCACTGTCCTCATCCATAGGTGCACGATTTTTGTCCAGTCTCTTCCCGCATCTCCCACACCCCTTTCCCCCCCAGGAATAGTCAGTCCATTCCCTTTCTATGTCCCTGATTCTGTTATAATCACCAGTTCATTCAGTTCATCAGATTATTTATTCACTTGATTCTTAGATTCACTTGTTGATAGATGCATATTTGTTGTTCATAATTTGTATCTTTACCTTTTTCTTCCTCTTCCTCTTCCTCTTCTTAAAGGATACCTTTCAGCATTTCATATAATCCTGGTTTGGTGGTGATGAACTCCTTTAGCTTTTCCTTATCTGTGAAGCTCTTTATCTGAGCTTCAATTCTGAATGATAGCTTTGCTGGATAAAGTAATCTTGGTTGTAGGTTCTTGCTATTCATCACTTTGAATATTTCTTGCCACTCCCTTCTGGCCTGCAAAGTTTCTGTTGAGAAATCAGCTGACAGTCGTATGGGTATTCCCTTATAGGTAACTGAGTTTCTTTCTCTTGCTGTTTTTAAGATTCTCTCTTTATCTTTTGCTCTTGGCATTTTAATTATGATGTGTCTTGGTGTGGTCCTCTTTGGATTCCTTTTGTTTGGGGTTCTCCGCGCTTCTTGGACCTGTAAGTCCATTTCTTTCACCAGGTGGGGGAAGTTTTCTGTCATTATTTCTTCAAATAGGTTTTCAATATCTTGCTCTCTCTCATCTTCTGGCACCCCTATAATTCTGATGTTGGTACGCTTGAAGCTGTCCCAGAGGCTCCTTACACTATGCTCGCATTTTTGGATTCTTTTTTCATTTTGCTTTTCCGGTTGGGTGTTTTTTGCTTCCTCGCATTTCAAATCATTGACTTGATTCTTGCGCTCCTCTGGTCTGCTGTCGGGAGTCTGTATAATATTCGTTATTTCAGTCCGTGTATGCTTAATTTCTAGTTGGTTCCCCAATATAAGATCGAGGGTCTTATTAGTTTTCTTGTAGATCTCATTAAGTTTATCGGCGGCTTCTAAACAGTTCTTGAGAGACCTTAAAAGTGTGGTTCTGAACTCTATATCTTCCATTGACAATTTTGTCCTGTTTCTTTGTCTCCGCATTTTGTTATGCTTCCTTGTGCACCCCCTAGTGGTCTTTGTTCGCAGTCTTATAGTTAAATCTTGATTGTTGTAGCTAATTCCAGGGAGGGTTTGACCTCCAGGCCAAGTGGCTATGAGAATCAGCTGTGTCAGCAGTGAGAGAACTTCTGTCCTCTAGGGAGGTGCTAATCTAGCCTTTGCCTGAGGCTATCCGGCAAAAGCCTCTGTGCAGGGCTTGGGCGGGGCGGGTCGCACAGGATCAACAGGGTGGGCCGGAGAGAGCAGTTATGGCGGCTCTCAGTCCTGTCCCCAGGGGCTCTGCCTCTCTGAGTCCCAGCAACCGCTGCAAAGCTCAGAGAGAAAGCTGCACTCGCTCTGACCGAAGCCAGACAGTCCCGCCTCTCCCGCCTGAGTCCGGGTCCCCAAAGACTCGCCTGTATCTGGAGCTCAGAGTCTGCGACTCCCTCCCGATTGAAAACGCCAACCGCGCCCTCCGCCGCCAGCCCGCTCGAGCACTCCGCACCTCAGAATTTGACTTCAGCACTGCGCCTCCTCTGAGTGTCCGTATGCGTTTCTCTTTCCTCCTAGTTGTAGGACTTCCACTCAGCCAGCGTTCCTGTGGTTCTGGGTGATGTCCCTTCCGTTTTTTGGTTTCACTTTTGAAGTAGTTGTTCAAAGCAGCAAACTCCGGCGTTAACCTATGCCGCCATCTTGGTTCTCTCCCATAATATCAGAATTTTCTGTTTTATATTTCTTGTTTTACATAGAATCATATTAATGGTTTTAATTACATAAAAACAGGTAGACTCTTTTTCCCCCTAAGAAATTTATACCTACATCAAATTAGATTTTCAGCAAATGCTTGTTAAATGAGTGGATGCATTATTTAATTAAACACGTAATTAATGAGAAGCCTACATGCCCATGTCCAAGACCACACACTGCTCCCCAAGCCCTGCACAATGGAGTCATATGTGTCTAAAGGATTCACACCACTTACCAATCATTCTCCCTTTCATCAGGAACATCTTTTATTCACACAGAGGTGGCACGTGGGCCTGCGTAGCCATGCCATTATTGAACTCTCAGTGTTCCTTGCAAATGATTGATTACATTGCCTATGTTTTAAGGCACTCTTTTTAGCCATAAAAGAGTACCACCATTAATCTTCATTGTTTTTCTCATTTTAAAACAGCTGACTTTGTATGTTGGCATTCCTAAAAGTTTTGATGAATGCTTAAAGCTTCTCAAACATCTTAAACTCCTTAGTATCTTTAATGTTACTAGGATTAAAAAAAAAAAACAACTGATACCAAATATACCATTTGCCCGGTATTGAGTTATTGTACAATTTTATAAGTATTTGGAGGAATATAATAATGTAATTAACATTTAGGTGTTTTTGTCCTATTTTGTTTATCTTTCTCTTCTCTGAAATCAGAATTTTTGTATCCATAAAACATTATTAACTGATAAGCTATATGTATTTGTAAAATTATGAAGCAAAAATAAGTCTCTTGCATTTAATTTAAAAGGACAAGGAAAGGGGCTGTTGTAAAACTTCAGTCGTTACCTCAGTCCTTTTGTTATACTTTTTTTAGAGGTAATTTAATCTTTAGATTTCACTAATAATATACAATGACCCCTGACTTTATGAAATAAACATCTTAAGGAAGAAGTAATCAAGCCAAAAAACTAGTCTTCATTTTGAATATATTATATTTACTGAAATTTTTCTAACACTTAGACATTAATTTAAACATCTGTATGCTATCTCCTATGGGAAATAAACTGATCTTTGAGAGCTATCAATGAGAAACACCCTTCATGAATAATTTTTTTAATATGTTTTTATTGATTTTTTTTTTTTAGAGAAAGAGGAAGGGAGAGGGAGAGAGAAACATTAATCAGTTGCCTCCCACACACACGCCGACTGGGGATCGAACCCACAACCTGGGTATGAACCCTAACCAGGGATCAAACCAGTGATCTTTTGGTGCACAGGATGATGCTCAACTGACTGATCCACACTGACCAGGACTTCATGAATAATATTTTTTTTTAAATATATTTTATTGATTTTTTACAGAGAGGAGGGGAGAGGGATAGAGAGTTCGAAACATCGATAAGAGAGAAACATCGATCAGCTGCCTCCTGTACACCCCCCACTGGGGATGTGCCTGCAACCAAGGTACATGCCCTTGACCAGAATCGAACCTGGGACCCTTCAGTCCACAGGCCGACGCTCTATCCACTGAGCCAAACCAGTTAGGGCCATGAATAATATTTTATCCCTGTGCTAAAGCTTGTCTCTTTGTTTGCTCACTGCATCTTACATCTTGTTCTGATCTGCTGTGACAATGTCTGCTTCTCTGGCACAGTGCTGTTTATATGCTGCATTTCTCATGTAGAATATTCCCCTGTTGAGAGTCAGGACTTGTTAAGTGCACATAAAAGCCAAACCTTGAGTGATCATGATACCCCTTATTCTCATCTCTTAAGATTAGCACTACAATATGCCCTTTAGTGCAACAGTTTGTAGTGTGGTACATAAATGGGTCTACAAGTGATCCACCTGGAGTCCCCTCTTGAAAACTACATTGAAGTTATTTGTACCTATGACAGATACAAAGAGCTTTGGATATTTAGGGTCTTAATGGCAAGAAAATGCAACTCTTTTGTTGTGTTATTTGGAGACACTTTTGTTGTTTTTGTAATTTGGTTTTGGATTTTATTTTATCTTGTGTTGTAGCAAAGAAGTAAACGAGGAGGGTGGTCCAAAGGAAGAAAGAGGAAGAAACCTCTTCGAGACAGCAATGCACCCAAATCCCCCCTTACAGGATATGTTCGGTTCATGAATGAACGTCGAGAACAGCTTCGAGCAAAGAGACCAGAAGTTCCATTTCCAGAAATCACCAGAATGTTAGGCAATGAATGGAGTAAACTGCCTCCTGAGGAAAAACAGGTAATTTTTTTCCTATTCCTGATCTTTAACTTAGTTTTGATTATATCTCAAAAATAATCTCTGTCAAAAAAGCAAACAGGATGGACAGCTGATTCTTCAATTTTGTCATGTGCCTAGCAGGGTCCTTCATAGCTTTCTTCTACAATACATTAGTTTTTATACTCTTTGAGGGTCTGCTGCAGGGTGTGAGCAGGAGGGGCTCTCAACCAAACCAGCTGCACTGGTGTTTGATTAATATGCTGGGAGTTCACATAAGATTTTTGTAGTTGTTCAATATGAAGAAATTTATCAGCATAATTTACTCCACTAAATTCAATGAAAAGTCATGAGTTAAATGAGAAAAGGTCATTTGATATAATTCTGATCACATAATATTTTTATTTAAAAGGTCTTACTGCTCTGATACAATTTTTAAACTAAAGTTTAAACTAGAGTTTAAAAATAGGCATATTTAACCTATTATGAAAAATAAAGCAATTCTTGAATTCTCCCTATTATCAAACTGAAATTAACCCTATTATCAAACTGAAACAAATCCATTTGTTAGAGACATTTGAGAGGAATGGAGGACAAAATAGCCACGCACTGGCTGAAATGTCCCAAATGTGGAGTGATGGTTGTGCAAGTGGCTTTGGGTTAAGAAGTTCCTGGCATTCTCAGAATCTGAAAGATACTTGTATTTTTTTTACTTTTATTTTATTGTTCAAAGTATTACAAATAGTAGTACGTATGTCTACTTTTTTTCCCCATTGACCTTCCCCCAGCCTCCCCTAGCGCCCGGCACATGCCCTCACCCCGCTGCCCTCCCAATGTCTTGTGTCCATTGGTTATGGTTATATGCATTCATACAAGTCCTTCGGTTGATCTCTTACTCCCCCCGCCCCCCAACACTCCCTAGCCTTCTCGCTGTACTTTGACAGTCTATTCGATGCTTTTCAGCCTCTGTAGCTATCTTTTTGTTCATCAGATTTATAATGTTCCTTATTATCCATAAATGAGTGAGTTCATGTGGTATATTTATTTCACTGCTTGGCTTATTTCACTTAGCATAATGCTCTCCAGTTCCATCCATGCTGCTGCAAATGGTAAGAATTCCTTCTTTTTTATAGCAGCATAGTATTCCATTGTGTAGATGTACCATAGTTTTCTAATCCACTCATCTGCTGATGGGCATTTAGGCTGTTTCCAAATCTTAGCTATTGTAAATTGTGCTGCTATGAACATAGGGGTGCATATATCCTTTCTAATTGGTGTTTCTGTTTTCTTGGGATATATTCCTAGAAATGGTATTACTGGGTCAAATGGCAGTTCTATTTTTAAATTTGTGAGAAAACACCATACTGTTTTCCACAATGGCTGGACCAGTCTGCATTCCCATCAGCAGTGAAGGAGGGTTCCTTTTTCTATGCATCCTCTCTAGCACTTGTCATTTGTTGATTTGTTGATGATAGCCATTCTGACAGGTGTGAGGTGGTACCTCATTGTTGTTTTGATTTGCATCTCTTGGATGATTAGTGACTTTGAGCATGTTTTCATGTGTCTCTTGGCTTTCTGAATGTCCTCTTTTGAAAAGTGTCTATTTAGGTACTTTGCCCATTTTTTGATTGGATTGTTTATCTTCCTTTGTTGAGTTATATGAGTTCCCTGTAAATTTTGGAGATTAAACCCTTATTGGAGATAACATTGGCAAATATGTTCTCCCATGCAGTGGGCTTTCTTGTTGTTTTGTTAATGGTTTCTTTTGCTGTGCAGAAGCTTTTTATTTTGATGTAGTCAGATTTCTTTATTTTCTCCTTAGTCTCTCTTGCCCCAAGATCTGTGTCTATAAAGATATTGCTATGACATATGTCTGCAATTTTGCTGCCTATGGAGTCTTGTAGGATTTTTATGGTTTCCCGTCTTACATTCAAGTCCTTTAGTAACATTTTGAGTTTGTTTTTGTGTATGGTGTAAGTTGGTGATCTAGTTTCATTTTTTGCATGTATCTGAGCAAATTTCCCAGCATCATTTATTAAAGAGGCTGTTTTGGCTCCATTGCTCTTGCCTCCTTTGTCAAATATTAATTGAGTATAATGGATTGGATCAATTTCTGGGTCCTCTATTCTGTTCCACTGTTCAATCAATATGTCTGTTCTTGTGCCAGTACCAGGCAGTTTTGAGAACCGTGGCTTGGTAATATAGCTTGATATCTGGTATTGTGATCCCTCCAACTTTGTTCTTCTTTCTCAGGACAGCTGTGGCTATTCTGGGTCTTTTTTTATTTCATATGAATTTTTGGAGAGTTTGTTTTAGATCTTTGAAATATGCCATAGGTATTTTTGGGGGGATTGCATTGAATCTATAGATTGCTTTAGGTAGTATGGACATTTTAATGATGTTGATTCTACCAATCCATGAATATGGTATGTTCTTGCATTTGTTTATGTCTTCCTCTATCTCTTTTTTCAATGTCCTCTAGTTTTCCGAGTACAGGTCTTTTACCTCCTTGGTTAAGTTTATTCCTTGGTATCTTCATTTTTTTGGTGCAGTGGTAAATGGGGTTGTTTTTTCTTTTCTCTTTCTGTGAGTTCATTATTGGTGTGTTAAGGCCATAGATTTTGGGGTGTTAATTTTGTATCCTGCTACATTGCTGAATTCACTTATGAGGTCTAGTAGTTTTCTGCTGGAGTCTTGGGGTTGTCTATGTACTGCTACATTGCCAAATTCATTTATTAAGTCTAATAGTTTTTTGATGGAGTCTTTAGGGTTTTTTGTGTACAATATCATGTCATCTGCAAATAAGGACAGTTTTACTTTTTCTTTTCCAATTTGGTTGCCTTTTATTTCTCCTTCTTCTCTGATCACTATGGCTAGTACTTCTATTACTATGTCAAACAGGAGCGGTAAAAGTGGGCATCCTTATCTTGTTCCTGTTCTTAGGAGAAATTGGTTTAGTTTTTGCCCATTGAGTATGATGTTGGCTGTACGTTTGTCATATAGGGCTTTTATTATGTTGAGGTATGATCCCTCTGTTCCCACTTTGCTGAGAGTTTTTATCAAGAAAGGGTGTTGGATTTTGTCAAATGCTTTTTCTACATCCATTGATATGATTATGTGATTTTTGTCTCAGTTTTTTTATGTGATGTATCACATTTATTGATTTGTGGGTATTGTACCATCCTTGCATCCCTGGAATAAATCCCACTTGGTCATGGTGTATGATCTTTCTAACGTATTGCTGAATCTGATTTGCTAGAATTTTGTTGAGGATTTTAGCATCTATGTTCATCAAGGATATTAGCCTTTAGTTCTCTTTTTTTGTGTGGTGTCTTTATCTCAGTAGTTCTCAAACTTTCTAATGTCATGACCCTTTAATTCAGTTCCTCATGTTGTGGTGACCCCCAATTTCATTGTTACAAATAGAACATAATTAAAGCATAGTGATTAATCACACAAAAAATATGTAATTATATATGTGTTTCCCGATGGTCTTAGGCGACCCCCTGTGAAAGGGTCGTTCGATCCCCAAAGGGGTCGCGACCCACAGGTTGAGAACCGCTGGTTTGGCGGATTTGTCCATTGGTGATAGAGGGGTATTAAAGTCTGCAACTGTGACTGTATTGCTGTCAATCTCTCCCTTGATATCCTCCAGAAGTTTTTTTTATGTATTTTGGTGTTCCTGTATTGGGTGCATATATGTTTATCAGAGTTATTTCTTCTTGTAGGATTGCTCCCTTTAGTATTATGAAGTGGCCTTTCTTTTCTGTTGTTATGTCCTTCACTTTGAGATCTAATTTGTCCGATATAAGTATTGCAACCCCAGCTTTTTTTTCATTTCCATTCGCCTGAAAACCTTTTACCATCCCTTCACCATCAGTCTGTGTGATTCCTTTTTTCTGAGGTGGGTGGGTTTCCTATAGACAGCAGATATAGGTAGGGGTCATGTTTTCTTATCCACTCGGCTCCCCTATGTCTTTTGATTGGGGCATTTAATCCATTTACATTTAAAGTTATTATTGATAGGTGTTTGTCGCCATTTTTATTCTTTACGCCTGTGTTCCTTCTTCTCTTCCTATTTCTTCTTTTTACAGCAGACCCTTTAGCATTTCTTGCATTGCTGGTTTGGTGGTAATAAACTCCCTTAGTCTTTTTTGTCTGTCAAGCTCCTGATTTCACCCTCAATTTTGATTGATAGCCTTGCTGGGTACAGTATTCTTGGATTCAGACCCGTCTTTTGCATGACTTTGTATATTTCATTCCATTCCCTTCTGGTCTGATGTGTTTCTGTTGAGAAATCAGTCACCAGTCTGATGGGGGATCCTTTGTAGGTAACTTTCTGTCTCTCTCTGGCCGCTTATAATATTCTTACTTTGTCGTTGGTGTTTCCCAATTTAATTATAATGGCCTTGGCATTGGTCTTTTGGGGTTCATTTTGTTTGGTAGTCTGTGAGCTTCTTGAATTTGAGTGAGTTTTTTCTTCCCTATATCAGGGAAATTTTCTGTCATTATTTCTTCAAACAGGTTTTCTATTCCTTGCTCACTTTCCTCTCATCCTGGCACCCTATTATGCACATGTTGTTTCATTTTGTTTTGTCCCAAAGTTCCCTTGGGCTTGCTGCCTGTTTTTTAAGTTTTTTTTCTAGATGCTGCTCTGCTCTGCTCTGTTTGGGTACTTTTTCCTACCATGTCTTCTAGCTCGCTAATGCGGTCCTCTGCTTCTTCTAGTCTACTGTTGATGCTTTCTATTGAGTTCTTTATAGCAGCAATGTCATTTTTCATTTCTTCTTGGTTCTTCTTTTCCCCTTGATTTTTACACATATTGTTGAATTTGTCTTCCATTCTTTTCAGCGACCTTGTGACCATTTCTCTGAATTCTTTCTCTGACATATTGTTTGCCTCCACTTCGTTTCCTTCCTTTTCTGGTGATGCCTCTTTTTCTTTCATATGCGGGCCATTTCTTTGTCTCCCCATGATCGTTCCTCTCAAGGTGTCTGGTTATGTAGCTCGCTCTCTCCTGCGTT